TGGTGTTCTCTACTACGTCCTCCTTACAACACACAGGGCGCACTGCACTATAGGGCGCGCCGTACTTTTTAAAGAAAATCTAAGGCTTTTATGTGCGCCTTATAGTTGCGAAAATACGGTATTTTTTTCCCCACTGCACCTCTAAGTTGGATGCCAGCTGCATTGGCTGTGGCCGCCAGGCAAGGAGTAGAAGAAGTGGAGTAGGAGGCAAAGACGATGGAAAGAAACGATGCAAAACGCAGCTGCAAGTAAAAAAAAAGGAAAGAAACTTGCAGTCTGAGTTAAAGTGTCTCAGTGGCCACGGCTTAAAATGTCTGCACTTGAAGAGTACAAGGTCAGGATGGTAGGAGTTGGCTGTGATGATGACGAAGAAGAGAACACAGATGTACTAAACAAACAGTGCAAATCTTGTAAGGAATGCCCAGTCTGTTGTTATCAGATTCTGAAACGATACAACCTCTTCACAGATGCTTATCATATTCTTGGCTGGGGATACAGGTACCTTCTTACTCTGCCTGTGACACAGGTAGCATGTGAGAGAAGTTTCTCTGTTCTCAAACACATAAAAAGTAGAATAAGAAGCACACAGTCACAAGAACACCTGGAAGCATTCATGCTTATGACTACAGAGAAAAACATCCGCATCTCCCTTGACAATGACTTGATCATAGACAGAGTTGCAGAAAAAACCGACCTCTTGAAGAAAATACGTATCCCCCAACATTGAGTAAGGTGAGTATTCAAGTTAACCTGCATACTAAAACCTCTTTACTTTATTTACCATAACTCATACAGTACTATGTGTTGTGTGTTTCCAATAACCATTTTGTATTGTTTCAGCCAGAGGGACTGCAGTATGTTGAGACCTCCATTACTATGTGAGTATTCAAGTTAATCTAGAATAATATACTTTAAATACAACATCTAGTCAACATCAGCACTGTTGCTATAATTTTGATGTTAACTCAATATTTACAACCATACCTTCATAGTACAAGACATCACACCACTTCTTGTTTTACTATGAGACACTATCATACAAGAAATACACCTTTAAAAGTTATCACCTACAATTTAAAATATTCTATTAAAAACAACAAATATGACAGAAAATATTACATTTATAGATGCATGTTATTATCTATATATGAGATATGTTTCACTTATATTTTTATTTTTTGTAAGCCTACACTGGCTATTTTAGTGGAAGTACAATGTATAGTTTATTGATACCTAGCCAATATAATCCACTTGAAATGCTTTACTCAACAACCTTACCTGACTAAATCTAGGCCAGCTGAATTGATATTCGGTGATTTTAAGGACACACATTTTACTCCAAGCTGAACCCAGACAGCTATTTATTTTACCATGTATTTATTTCATTACTAATTTCATAACCAATTTGATTCATGTACATTTGAACAAATTGAGTTCTGTAGGGTTAAGGATGCGAGGAAATCCATTATTTCAAAAATATAGTGTTGAGGTGTACTTCTTCTTGACCTCACCGATCCTTTTGATATCCCAGCTGAAGAAGAGTCCGCGGCTGCCCTGTGTCCCCCTCAGTAGTTTGAACATGTTGCAAACAGCTCCACATTTTCCTTCCTCTTATCATGTTCTGCGTTATGATTTACTATTGCGTTTGTGTTTCCATGAGCTTAAAATCTGCTTTTATTATCAAGCGAGTGAACCATGATGCATGTTTACAGTCATAGTTAGGATATCACTAATGATTAGCTTCAAATTGACCTCAAATTATTAAGCTATAGGAGCACACTGAGGTTGAACAAGGCACAGGCCTTAATCACAGTGAGAGACACTGCAAATTTCTTTTAGTTTTATTTTGGGATGTAATGTTCAAATTTGAGCTTTAACTTTTTATTCTTGCCTGATGACAATAAAGCAAACTGACAGTTTCAATTAAAAATGTAGTTTTTAAGGTGCACTTGAGTCCCTTACTGTGAAAGATGGCATGAGTTAATATACATTTCAAAATAAATAAAGG